GCATAGTGGCTAAAATCCCGAAAGGAGAGAGAAATAGAGAAGGGCTTTTGTCATGACCATTCCCCAAGAAGGGTGCTTTCTCATTTTCCCTCTCTCTTTCTCATTCTGTCTCTTTCTGCAAATGCAAATGCCATCTGGCAAAAAAAAAAAAAAAATTAGTCAAGTGCTAAAGATATGGCATATTTTCTTAGAAGCAACTACATTTTCACAATACAACATTAAATTTCTAGTTTCTGGGAACCAGCAGTTAGCATAATGGTTATGTCGCTGGACTCCCACGTAGTAGACTGCGGTTCGCGTCCTGGACCCGGTGGCTTAAACTCATGCCGGGCGCATGTGTGTGTGTGCCCAAGATCCCGAAAGGAGAATGGAGGAGAAGGGATTGCGGTGTGACCATCCCCCTTGGGGGATGATTTCTCGCTTTCTGTCTCTATGTCTCTCTCTGTCTGTCTGGTGAGTGCACGTACCCTATAGCGAAAACCTCTCAAAAAAAAAAAAATTTCTAGTTTCCCCTAAAGATGTGAGTTTTGTGACTCTGGGTCAACTACAACATAATTCGGCATTAAAAATTAACCTACCGGCTCACTCCACAGTACAGCAGGTAAGTGCTTGTGCGAAGAGATTTGGCTCCCACATGACCAACCACAGTTCAAACCCTGGGTCCAGCAGCTTAAAAAACATGGTGGGCATGTGTGTGTGCATGCCCAGGATCCTAAAGGAAGGAAGAGAGGAGGGGGCTTGTGGTATGACACTTTCTCTTTCAGCCATCATCTCGCTTTAAAGAAAAGAAAAGAAAAGAAAAGAAAAGAAAAGAAAAGAAAAGAAAAGAAAGGAAAGGAAAGGAAAGGAAAAGATAAAGCTGGCCAACCCTGTAGCCTAACGGACCTTGATCCAAGATCCAGCCCCAGAGGATTGAAAAATACATAGGGGTTCAAAGTGTGGGTACCCAAATCACAAAGAACGGAGAAACAGAAGAGAGCGTTCTCTCTCTCACACGTGCCCCCTGGCAATTTTTTGTGTATGGGGGAGTCACCTAGTGCTTAATACTCACTGGTTCCTGAGTGGTTCTCAAACCCAGGCTCGTATGAGAGTTACCTGGGGTGATTTTGAACCGTTCATTTTCTTCCCTTATTCTTTTTTTATTTTTTTTAATTTGCCAGAAGGCACATATGATCACCAGAGAGAAACAGACAGAGAAGTTGGGGACAGTGAGAAAGCACCCCCGGGAGGATGACCACACCACAATCCCTTCTCCCCCCTTTCTCCCTCCTCTTGGGATTTTGGGCAGGCATGCCAAGTACTCGGTATGTTTTTTTCAAGTCACCAGGTCTGAGACTTGAACTGTACAGTGAGCCATGTGAGATCTATCAGCCTTAACCACATCATCAGCTGCCCCACCCTCTGGCAATTTAAAAATGAAATCCAGCAGACGGCGTAGTGCTTACAGCACTGGACTCCCACATGGCCGGCCATGGTTTGGGTCACGGGCCTAGTGGCTGCAATCTCATACCAGGTGCAAGTGGATGTCCACCCAAGACCCCAGGAGGAGAATGGAGAAGGGACTGCAGTGTGGTCATCCCCCTGCAGTATGATTTCTCACTTTCCCTCTCACTGTCTCTGTCTCTGTCTCTCTCCCCCAGAAAGCACATGCACCCTAAAGCAAAAACCTCTCAAAAAAACAAAACAAAACAAAACAAAAACAACACAAGATGGAGAGAGAGCACAGGAAGTAACTAATAAGACTGTGCGCTTCAGAAGCAAACATGATTTTGTGTCGTAAAGAGGGAACAGGTGTAAGATTCGGACCCTCCTTACAGAACTACGAACAGAGGCTGGTTCTACTGGCAGAGAACCTGACTGGGTCAGAGCTCAAGCAGTTTGCATGCCATGGAGTCAGACCTTAAACCAGTACCAACTGGCGAGAGGAAAAAACAGACACAAACAGAAGGCGGAAGCCCATGCCTTCATTTCAAAACATGACTTTGTTTAAGAAAACCAAGGTCTCTTTGGGCGTGCCTGATCTTAGAAGAGGTATTTTCAAGTAAACATACTAGTGCCAAACAGTGACGTTTGCTTCGACTTTCAATACTTTCCAAAAGCTTGTTTTTTTCCTTCATCAAAGAGAGAGCACATGTGGGAGATAGACAGAGACCTTCGAAAGACTGTGGTCACACCATGATCACCTTCCCCAGGCCCCCAGCTTGTCAGGATGCAGGGTATGCACATGTGCAAGCTGCGAGTTCCAGTCCTCCTGGCCTGGGAGTGCTGAACCCACAGCTGGCCACGCGGCTCCCAGCACGGCAGTTCAGTTCGCTGCAGACCACCACCCAGGCTGGGCCTCACATTTATTCTATTATAGAATCCCACTCCTCTGTGAAATAATACTTGCAAAACAGTGGGGCTTGAATCCATTCTTATTTTTCAGGTAGATATCTTACTAAATAGGCCATATGATCAAGGTTCAAAGAAAGAGAAGAAAAATTATTTCACAAAATCAATACTACCCAGCTTATTTCCCCATAAAATAAAATAGCTTCCAGACACGTTTAATACTAGAACATGGGGCTTCTCCCCCAGTGAGGGAGCCTGATCTCACATGCACGCCCCCCATGGGCATGGTCATACTGCAATTTCCTTTTGTCATTTCTCCATCCCATCAGGGCTTTGGGCATGCACGCACACGTGTCCAACATGCTCTCTAAGCTGCAGTCTGCCACGTGGGTCCAGCTCCCAATACACAGCGGCCAACCACTGTATTATGGAGTTAGCCCCAATTTTCTCCTTTTGTGGAGAGATCTCTGCTATAGGGCATGTGTGCTTGCTGGAGAGACAGAGAGAGAGAAAGTGAGCGATTATCCCCGGGGGAATGGACAGGCGGCAATTCCCACCTCCATTCTCCGCTTGGATTCTGGACACGCACACACACACGCATCTGGCATGTTTTAAGCCACTGGATCTGGGACTCAAATTGTGGTTGGCCATGTGGGGACCCATTTCCCTCCAATTTTCTCCTCTTTAGGATACCACCACAAATCTTACTGCTCATTGTAGGGATCTCCAAAGCAATAAAAACAAAGGCCTTTTCAATCACAGGACTCGTCCCTGGCACGCAGCCTTACTACAAGTGAGGATTCTGACCGATACAGCTATTCGCTCTCACTCTTCTGAGCGGAACATAGCTAATTCAAGAATTCCCACCTCAATCTACTTAGACTTCCGTCTGGAGGCTGTCACCTAGAAAAGCCTCTCTCATTTGACTAACTAGGGGGGAAGAAGCTTGTGAACAAGCAAATGTTAGAAAGTCTCACCCTCTGAGCTCTCGCTGAAGCAGTCGAACCTCGTCAGCATCACTTAGCACAGCTTCGGTAACATATATGATTTACACACCTACAGGTGCAGTTTACAAGGGACAGAACAACCGGCCAGAGAGCCAGAACTCACAGTAATAATTCTATGACCTGGGTCTATGACTGGGATTTGGCTCATCTCCATGAACTTCTTTGAAAACCCCCAAAGCAGAAGCCATAGGATACTGGATATGTGTGATCTGGGGTCACAGACAGCCATGGCTGTCTAGGACAGGCCAGAACTGCTGCTCCGTACCTTGTGCAGGCATTAAACAATATTTTGGCCAGGGCCAATGCTTTCCAAGTCATTGAAGTCCTGGGAAGCTGGAAGGTTCTCTTTGAGAAAAGAAAATCACTGGTTCTAATTCTTCAAAAAAAAAATCCCTAAAATAATTTTTATGGTATGTGATTGGTATCTCAAACATTTATAAAAAAAAATTCTAAAGTCTTTGAACACTTTGACGATCGTTCTCTCTGTGAATGGATTTTTTTTTCTTTTTTCTTTTTTAGTTTGCCAGAGGATGCGTGTGCTTGCCAGAGACAGAGAGTTAGAGAGAGGGAGAAAGTGAGAAATCACTCCAGAGAGGATGGCCACACTGCAATCCTTTTTCCTTCATTCTTCTCTTGGGATTGTGGACATATACACACACATGCTTGGCACCGGGTCTGGGACTCAAACCAGTCAGCCAGGTGGGATCCATGCCACCTGGCGGCCCTCTGTGAACTGATAAATACTCAGTCCCCCTTCCTACTCCACCCTGCCCGGGGCATGACTCATTGTATATTCTTCATGAAAGGGGAGAATGTGAACACAAGTTGGAAATGTTTTAACATACAGTCATGCACCGCATCACAGCGTTTCAGTCAATGATGGATCGCATATACGACAGTAGTGCTGTACAACTGCCACAGGATACGCCATATAGCCCAGGTGTGCAGCAGTGTACCTGGGTTCACTAGGCACACTGATGTTTACACAACAAGAGAATCACCTAACGAGACACCCCTCATGGCCTACCCTTGTGGTTATGACTAGTTCAATTGTAGTTACGCCACTTCTGAACTTGTGAAGGTAAACAGCAATACTCTAGAACTATAGGCTGAAGAAAGAAACCACCTGACATATCCCAGAATAATTTTCATTCGACAGCGTATACAAACTATATCATCTAGCCAAATAGATACTAATTATTATTATACTTTGAGATAGCTTACAATGGTCAGGAAATTATCCTCATTCTATTGTACTTGATAATTCTAGCTCAACTTCTGTTCATCCGATAAACAAAAATCATGATCAAGACTGGCTTTATTAACTTGAGAGTGAGATATTTAAGTGAAATGATCAGGCTTAAGTCCTTCACAATAGTAAAACATAGAGTAGCACAGTTGTAATTTCTGCTAATTATAAGCCTTAAATTTGTGCCAATTATACCGCACTTGTATCCCCAGGACAGAGCGTCTACACATCTCTTATGTAAATATACCACGCACAGTAAAAGTATTTCCAATTTTAGGACACTGTTTCTAAATAGTACAAGAGGGACAAGCTCCAATGGAACAAACATGTCAAAGGCACACATTACAAACGGGAAGATAATTGCAACTGCCCATTATTTCAGGAAATCTAATTACAGGAGAGAATATACTTACAAGAGATAGCAGCAAACGGAACAGGTCACCAACATGGTGTTGATAACTCTGGAAAAAAAAAACAAAAAAAAACAAATGTCATTAGAAAACTATGCAGGCACTGCAGAATGGTTTCAGTCCCTTTACCAAGCTATCAAAGTAGCACACATTGTGCACCAAGAAGACGGACCTGAATCTGTACTCCAGGGTGCACCCGGCAGAAATCTAAGCATGCAATTAAACACTCACATTTAAAGGCGTATATACTGATGCCACGGCTTGGATAAACCAAATAGAAAATGCTGCAGTGGGGATCAGTTTAGACACCCAAGTAACTACTCTGTTTGTTTGTATTCTCTGCAATAAAATCATATTGTACTTCAAAAAATATGACTCCAGTATTTTCTCCCTAGTTCCATTCATGTTTGTTCCCCAATGCCATAGGGTGTTTATACTCACCAGAGAGAGAGAGACAGAAACAAGGAGAGGGAGAGAGGGAAAAGTATTCCTCAATGGGGTGTAGACACGCCACAAGCCCTTCTCTGTTTCTCCATCCTGTTAGGATTTGGGGCATGCACACACACATGTCCAGTGAGGTCTTTAAACCATCAGGACTGGAACTGGAACCATGGTCGGCCATGTGAGATCCTGCTCTCTTAACCATTAGGCCATAGGGCTTGCCCTCATTCACATTTGCAAAAAATCAAACCAGGATCTCAGTTGAATTTCAACATTTCTAAAACTGAATTCATGATATTCTTTTTCCATTTCTCTCTCTTTTTTTTTTGGAGAGGTTTTTGCTATAGGGTGCGTGTTCTTGCCAGACAGAGACAGAAAGCAAGAAATCACCCCCCAGGAGGGATGGCCATGCCGCAGTCCCTTCTCCTCCATTCTCCTCTCGGGATCCTGGGCACGCTAGCACATGCGCCTGGCGTGAGTTTTAAGCCACCGGGTCCGGGACGCGAACCATGGACTACATGGGAGTCCAGCGACATAGCCATTATGCTAACTGCTGGTCCCTTCATTTCTCTTTCCAAAAGCTCCCCTTCTAAAATTTCCTGCTCCCTAGAAGCAGTTCTATCCTTCCCATCCACTTGACCCACCTTCAAATCTTAAGCCTTCTCTGGTCCCCTCCTGGTCACCAAATGCTGTGGGTTCATCCTTAGAAGCATCTCTCCCCTGCATAGATTCCTTCCTTTCCATTCCCAAGGTTAGCAACAAAATTCACCAGGTTTGCCTGCAACTAACTGCTGATACATTCAAAGCTTCCATCTTTCCCTTTCATTGTAGCCAATGACTCAGATTACTCTTTCTAAAATATTCCTTTCACGGGGCCAGCAGGTGGCACAATGATTAGGGCACTGGACTCCCACATGGCCAACCAGTTCAAATCCTAAACCGGCAGCTTGAAGATCACGCTGCGCACATGTGCATGTGTGCCCAGAATCCCAGGAGTAGAATGGAGGAAAAGGGACTGAAGTGTGGCCATCCTACCTGGGGGGGTGTCTCTCATCCATTCAGCAGATTTCACCGTGAGTCCAGCGTGGACCAGGCTGTGAAGGGAGCAGTGAACAAACATAAAAGCCCAGCCGCCATGACGTTTACAGACCAGTGACCTGACTTTCTGTCATTAGCATGTGAGATGGTCTGTGCTGGAGGAGGAGACTAAAGCAGGAAAGGAAGACACAGGATGCAGGGTGTTGGAGGGTGCGGTTGCAATTTTAGACTCAGAAAAGTTTAAACTCAGACCAGGAAAGGCTTTGCTGGAAGGTGGCATTTGAATGCAGACCTCAAAAAAGCAAAGGGTCTTCTGGGGAAAAGCGAACGCACAGGCCTCAACGTGAGGTGAGAGGACACCCACCATTCACCATTCAAAGAGGAAGGAGGTGTCCTTTCCCCTGGCTGGCGGCACAGAGGCCACCCAATGCCTGAAGTTACCATAAAGGATGTGGACCAGGGAACCAGCAAATGGTGTAATGGTTATGTCACTGGACTCCCACGTAGTCGACATGATTCGAGTCCCGGACCCGGTGGCTTAAATCTAACGCTGGATGTGTGTGCGTGTGTGCCCGAAATCCCGAGAGAATGGAGGAGAGGGGATTGCAATGTGGTCATCCCTCCAACCCCCCAGGGGCTGATTTCTCACTTTCCTTCTCTCTGTCTCTCTCTAGTGAGTACACATACCCATAGCCAAATTAAAAATAATAATAAATAAATAATTCTTTAAAAAATAATCTTGTTTTAACATGTGGGATGTACACGTGTGCTCATGTGCATGCACACACACACACATTCATACATATACGTAATTATTCACATCAGTGGAGGTGAGTTCCTGTTCTTTGATGTAACTGGCAGCTGTTAAGATGTGGTATTATTTGCTATTATCCTTCTAATAGACTTGAGATCAAGAAGATGAATGTCTAAGTGGTGCTTCAGTGATGAGGTGAAACTCCATATTAGAGAAGATTCTTTCCACAGCAAATAACAAAGCCAAACCAAACTGGCCTGGCATACAAGGAAAATCTATTGATTTCTGTAATGAGAAGTTCGAAAGCAAGGCTCACGTTAGATTGGACTTTATTCTGGGACTTCAATGATGTTACCAAAGCATGATTTTTTTTTCTTTTTTTTTTTTTTTTTGCATTTCTGAACTTGGCACTCAGCTGTGCTTTTTTTTTCTTTTTAGATAAGTTTTCTACTCTTGGTTTTTAGATGGCTATTACAGCTCCAGAATCTATACTTACACAGTGCCAAGTCCACATGATGAAATTTCCTTCTGCTAACACATAGACGAAAGTACTAGGCCTGCTCATTTCCCAAGTATAGGTGCAAGTAAATGCCCAGTCAGTCTCTCTAGGCAGGATGTTATATGATGACTCACTGAGAGCAACCTAAGGCTTATCCCTAAAAATAACAGTAAGAAAAATATGTTATATGACTACAAAGCCTAAGATATAAGATAAGAAATGGAGGGCATGAGAAAATGAATATTTTACCAGGGCCCTGGATCCTGCAACCACTACAGTTTCTTTTCTTTTCTCAGATTTGTAATCTCTATGGGGTTGGCAGATTTTTCCTCAGTATGCCAATGGACTACTTTTCCTGAGGCCAGTCCATTATATCACCTGTTACAAGCAAGAATGGAGCAATAAGGTGAGCAGAGAATAGTGGGACTGCAATGCCTCGGCAATGTTAATCATTGTCACAGAAGGCGGGACAGATAGAGTAAAAATGATCAGTGAGGAAAGTTTTAAAACATTTCCTATTTCTTAACATTTAGTCGAGTCATCTCCCCACTTCCCCTTGGAGTGGAGGACCACGGTCATGCCCATGGTTCCCACGACTTCCTTTTATAAGATCAAGGAAAGAGTCGATGATGCACTGCAGAAGAAGCAGGAGAAAGGAGCTGATGAGTTCCAGGAAAATTATTGCAAGATCTAAAAGAGGAATTACACACTTTAAAAAAGAATCAAGTGGACCTGTTAGAGATGAAGGCTATAATACAGGAAGTCAAAATCTCCCTTGAAAGTATTAAAAGCAGACTTGATCATACAGAAAACAGAATCTCAGACATAGAAGACAAAATTTCTGGCCTGGAAAAATCCACCACAAAGACTGAGAAAATTGCCCAAGAAATTGAGAGTAATAAACGAGAAATACTAGATACCATAAAATGTCCAAACATCCATATAATTGGTATCCCATAAAACAGATTCATAAGGCCATTGATAATCCATTTGAAATCCTGCAAGAAAACTTTCCAAACCTAGAGAGGCACTCAAAGATCCAGTCCCAAGAAGTACAAAGGACCCCAAATAGGATCAACCCAAGAAGATCTTCTCTAAGACACATTATTAGCCAGATTGACCAAAACCACAGACAAAGACAAGATACTAACACTGGCAAGAGAACAATAGCAAGTTACTTACAAAGGATATCCTATCAGGCTAACAGCAGACCTCTCATCGGAAACAATATGAGCGAGGAAAGAATGGGAAAATATATTCAGTGTTAAGGAAAAAGCAATTTCAACCAAGAATATTGTACTGGCAAGACTATCTTTCATATGGGAAGAAAAGACAAAAACATTCTCTGATAAACAAAACCTGAAAGAATTTACCAACACCAGACCAGATCTCCAAGAAGCTCTGAAGGGAGTGTTATACCAGGAAAATTAAATACAGACACAAAGAAATAAGAGTTTAAAAACAAATAAAATGGCCAACTGAATTGTAAGGACAAGTCTAGAGATGAATATTATATCCCAGAATTTAATCAGGAAGATCAAACCACAACAGAAGATAAATTAGGCACATGAGACTGAACTGGTGAAATAGCATTTTAAGACTTTTGACTTAAAACATTGCTGATTTTCTTCTAGGCTCTGTTTTCCAAGTTTAAGGATTTTTGTCTTGTCTTGAACTGTTGATAGATTCATGTACCTACTATTTTGAACAGAATCCTAACCTGTTTCCTCGCTTCAAGTTTTAAGCAATGTTCTTTAGCATTTCTTTGATTTATTAAAGTTAAAAACTGCTTTTCTTGAAAAAAAATAGATGCATAATTTCTACAAAGTCATAGAATAAAATGCACTCATATATTTGAATCATAAAAGTGCTAATCCAAAGAAGTAACAGAAAAAAAGACAAGATCAAAAAATGGAAAGGACTATTAGAAAACAAATAGCTATTAATAATATAAATTTAACCATATCAGTAACAATTTTAAACATAGTTAAAGCAGACATTCTAGTTTAAAAGTAACTATTGTCAGGTTATATAAACTCAAAACATATGTTAAACAAGAAATCTACTTTAAATATATTAATGTAATTACATTAAAAATGATAGTACCTAAAATACACACCATGCTAATGATAACTAAAATAAAGTGATACTAATATTAGAACAAAGATATTTCAAAGCAAAGATTGTTTAAGAGGTTGTTACAATAAGATAGAAAGGTCAATTCATCAAGAAATGTGTATGCATATAATAATAAAGCTTTAAAATATTCCTTTCACGGGGCCAGCAGGTGGCACAATGATTAGGGCACTGGACTCCCAC